TTAGCTGTAAACATGATCAATGCTCCATTCAAATTTTCCTCAAAACTTGACAAGAGTTATGATGGAAACCATAAACAAATTTATAGCTATGTAATGGTTGCTCTCTTATTTGGTTTACTTTGTTTTTTTTCAAGGAAAGTCAAACTGGCTAGACTACAACAGAGTTGTTATGGCCTACACCAGAACTGTTGTAAACCAGCAAGAATCAAAGGCACTTCTTCAAAAGGCACGAACGAGTAATCTGACTCCTTCAAGATTTGGAAGAAGGAACTGGACAGTTGCAAAAAAGCCTAGATGATCTGAGAGTTCTTCGAGCAGATTAAAATGGTTCAAAAATGTTGATTCTAAGATTTAACAAAAAGAGATATCTATATTACTTATGATATCTCTGAAAACTTACCGTGGTTGAGTGATATTAATACAGATCATACGAGTGTATCCAGTTGCTATAATAACATTTACATGCTATTATTATGTGCATTATCAATAGATGTACATTAGTAGGGTCTATTATGCTGAGTTTCTTTTTTGTATAGGCCACTTTAGTTTTGTCTAAAATCCATCAATGGTCTTGAACCGCTTGCCTGAGTTTGTACGTTGCCCATAGTCCTTGAAAGATCTACTCATGTTTCTGTCCATTCACCCCAACCTAGCTTGGAAGTTATAGCAGCTATATATAATACGTAGAACGTGAAACTCAAATCCGAGGAGTTAAAGAAATAGAACCTCTAGGTTGCTGAAATCTAAGACTGTCTTTCGGATGGCCTAAAACCATATGTTAGTTGGCAAAAGCTGCTAAAACAAAACAAGTTTCCGGTACCGAAAGTGCTCGGAATCCTGATTGTCAAGATCTGATTGTGATGTTATTGAGGCGCTGAATCACAAGTGATACTAATATGTTTCAAGGGTACTTTTTTCTGCATCTGCTAGCTCTGTATGCCTACCACAAAAACATTTAAGATCTGAGCAATGGAATAGTGTGCTTGAAACACACAATATTGTTGGTAAAATGCTAATTGTGAGAGTGTTAAGAAAGTTTTAAGCACGAAGATTCTAACTATGGAAAGTATACACCTGATCATGCTGGGGTGTAGATGCGCAAACTACGCTAAGCGCTTTATGATTGAGTAGTTATAGGCATTCTGAAGGATGTTTAGAATTTAATAGATATTTGTGCAGTGCAATAGCGTGCTTGAAACACATAAGATCGTTGGTAAAACGCTAATAATGAGAGTGTCAAGAAAGTTTTAAGCACAAAGATTCTAGCTATGGAAATTATACACCTGATCATGCTGGATCTGAATGCTCAAACTACCCTCAGCGCTTGTTACTGAGTAGTTATAGACATTCTGAAGGAGGTTTGGATATTAATAGATATCTGCGCAGTGCAATAGCGTGCTTAAAACACATAAGATTGTTGGTAAAACTAATTGTGAGAGTGTCAAGAAAGTTTTAAGCACGAAGGTTCTAGCTATGGAAATTATACACCTGATCATGTTGGATCTGGATGCTCAAATTACGTTGAGCGTTTATGACTGAGTAGTTATAGGTATTTTGAAGGATATTTGGATTTTAATAGATATCTACGCAGTATTAAATTTGGCAATTGTGCGGACACGTTCATACATCATCGCTCTAACCTCAACATACTTCTCATTGCAGCAACTGAAGTAAATGTGTTATATGCGACTCACCTTGCTTTGGTGGGGCTGAAAATGCACTATGCATTTCTCCTCGTATTGTGATCAATTGGATCATCAAATGATTCTTTCAATGCCCATTACTCTTCGAAGCATCCATTTTCTCTTTCACGCCGTTCACCTGAGTAATTTTAGGTTTTAAACGGGCAATTCTTCGTTTCTTACTAGTTTTTGTCTATATAGCATCATCTTTACTGAATTTGCCTTCCTCAAAACCACTATTGAATCTAACAGAGAGGCTCGAAGCAATGTGACTTGCAGGTGGAAAGTGCATTCTCGAGAGTGAATGCACAAAGGACTATGAAAAAATAAAACTTGGGTGTGGAAAACTTCCAAAAATCGGCAAAGTTGGAATAGTTTAACTACCCTGCGCATTGCATTTTGACCACATAGCGGGAGAGTTGGAACCGGATGCATTATTTGTGAAGTCATACAGCGGAGTTCATTGTGAATTCATCGTGTCGAGAAAATGTCAAGAAATTTCCAATAGAGTGGGAAACTACCGAACTCCTCAAAGAAATTTGGAAAAGTCGTGAATATACACATGGAGTTTCCATAAAAACCAGATTTTCATGCGGAAGTGCCTGGTACTCCGGAGTGTTCGATTTTTTTGCCACCAAGAATTTTTCAAATTGCCGCTCCCTCCTATGTGATAAGGGGAGCAGCCGGCATGTCATTGACAAGCGAGGGTTCATTGTAGCTGCCGGTCGTGTAGTTTACCCTTTAGTGTGTTAGTTGGGAGCGCCACGTCAACGATCCATGTGCTTGTTAGGATTATCTGCCACGTCATTCATCGATTAGGAGTGGGATGGATGGTGGTGATAATATCTTATCTCTTTGTACTTGTTGATGAGAGCTATATAAAGGAGAATAAAACCATTGTTGGTATCTCTCATCTTTAGAGTTTACAATTCTATCTTCGAGTGAACTATACTCTATACACTAGTGTTACACTAAAACTCTTTAGGTTAATCCAACTTACATTGCACAAAAAGGTCACATTCATCTTAGAACTAAAGCATAATCATCATATATAATGAATTTGTATAACAATCATGTACTCTTCTTTTCTAAAAAACCATGCGACAACACAACAACATATTGAGATTGACTTGAGTTAAGAGGTATATAAGTGAATTGTTATAACCAAATTAAAATATTGTATTAATAAAGACCTGTATTTGATCTAAAAGTAAAAAACATAGTATCAAACAAATCCTTTACATAAATCCGAAATATTTCTGCATGAAAGTCAATTTCTTGATACTTTAGATCTGAAATTAATGGAGATATAAGATATGAACATGTTCATGACATAGCTAATTAGAACATATCATAATAGGCTAGAGGAATTACTACTTTTTACTTCATAACATAACATAATGTAAGTGTCATGCTTTATATTCAATATTTTACTCATAGCAATTAACAATGTACTACACAAGAGAACAATAACCTTAATGTTAATTCTTGGAAAGGTGATGGAATTTAAATATTCTGCATGAATATTTAGTATATGCAGTATTACTTATTACCCATTATGGTGATGTTGAATCCTAGCCCCATCAATCTCCTCTAATTGGTTCATATGGTGTCTTTTAGGGTATGTCGTGAATGTTTTTCTTTTATCCTTACTACTTCTTGCAAACATAAATTCGGTGCAGATTGGGAAAATACATAACCAGCATTTGATACATTTTTCTATTATTCCGATGTGCATAACTCTGAAAGAGGCGAACCTTTCAAGCGGCAGGAAATGCCAACTAGTAATCATACTTGACACCATATCACCGTGATGGTTTTCCACGGCTCCGATGGCTTAGCTGGAAAGTATATATAAAGTCACTGGAAATCATGGATTTGTTTTATCTGTGAAATACACCGTGCATAATCAGTTTAGTTCTGACCGAATCAGGATCAGCTCTAGTCGGGAAGCTTCATCGGAACCAGAAGATGCTCGATCTCTCGTCATCGATGGGGCGCTAGACTTGTGAAAAGGACATCCGATGACCATTAGCATGTAGTGGGACCCTAAAATATCGGGTAAGAATCCATATATACTACTTGATTGGCTCGAGAAGCGAGGGGCGGATCAGGGATCTCGAAATTTCTCCCTAGCTGAGGAGTTTAGGGGCTGGTCACAGGGCGATTTTATAAAAGTTTCACTTCCATAAACTACATGTGACAAGTTCTTCACATGCTAATGACAGTAACATCCAGAAGACACAAACATTAATCTAAATAAATGATTATATTGTTTCGTTGAGAGCTCAGATTTTACAAAGTCATTCAACTCCATAAAATGATACTTTGGTTGCTTATTGTCATGCTGTCAGTAACCAACGAAACCAGCTTGAACATCGTTGCAATTACAATAATGCAAATAACGCTTTTCTGAATTTCAGTCACCTCTTGTTTGTATATGAACTTACCTAGTATAAGACACTAAAGACGTGAATACATTTTTAAATCGTCAATAGATGATCTCACAAATTTTTGTTTTTTTTACAACACACTTTTTAGACGGGTGATTCACGGTTGAAAAGGAAATACATACTTTTTTTTTTATATATTTTAGAAAGAAAGAAATTTAAGTTGTTATCATGATTCTGAAGAAAAGCCCAATTATTCAATGAAATCTTCCAGTACACATCTCATTTCGACAAGCCTCAAATCATATAGAAAGAAAATATCGGACAACAGTTCCTGATATAAATTTTATTGGAAAAAATCGGTAAAATTCCTATGATGAAATTGGAATTTAGTCTAAGAGATCTGGTATTGATAATATCATTTTTTCGTTTTACAGATATTCTCTTACTCATTATAAACGTGAAAATCATTTAAGAAATGTACTGATACCAAGATACATATGTTTGTAAAATAATTTCTTGAACTTTCTTTCATACGCTATTAGGATTTACAGAAACTAAAATGTCAGTACATATCTTGCAATAGGAGTGGAGTGGGTCACACTTTAACTAGAAGGAGAAGAATGGGTGCAACCTGTACCTGAATTTTACCGACTTTTAAAATTCTTCTTCGTTCCATACGGTCGATCTTTGTCATGACGGTGGGTCGCCTGTAAACTGCACCTTGAATTTCTGCGTCTCTAGAAAAATGACGAATGCAAACTAGACATGTGGAGGTATATCTGGTTCTTAGGATCCAGGTAAGCTGGCAAACCGAACTCTCAGCCATATGAGTTAGTGGAACGAATGAGGAGCAGCCACGTGGAACTGGTTTGCTTGAACTATTCCGGTGTCGTGGATGGCGATCCGCACTGATACTGGTCCGTATGCGCAGGGATCATGGACCTCATCCTCTCGGGCTTTCTCTGTCACCTCATTCGTCGACTGCGCTCGAGAAACGGCGAAGACTCGGCTCCGAATTTCGCCCGGCGCTTCTGCGACGCCCTCCGCCGCTTGAATCCCGTATGATCTCCCTGCCACATTGAGGTCTCGTTGGATTATTTCATTCCACTCCCGTACCTCGCGCTGCGGATTTCTGCTCAATTTCCGAGGTAAGCCCAAAGGTTGTAATGGTCGTGTTGTTGCGAAGTTATCAGGCTATTGGAAGCGCCGACAGTTTTATACGATTTTCAAATGAGAATGTTGCTCGGGATTCTGAGTTGAACCCGTTCTGAAAATCGCGCATTCTCTTGTTACTCTCTTTTCCAGTGGTTTCAAGCATCTCGAGAGTGCCCGAAGCCGTCTATCGACATGGCCGCTGTCGCTAGTCTCGGTTCGGCTCTGTCCGTGAGCTCTGCTGCTCTGAGCCAGGTGAGTTGGAATCGCTGGTAATATTTTTCGGCAGCTTTCGTCGAGCTGTTGGATGAGTCCTCCAGAAATTGGAAGGTGTGATGTGCTGAGGTCCTTTTTCTTCCCTGACGTGGTGCATGAGTCTAACATACACCTACTGATTCCTACGACTTGTGGCTTTCATCTGTTTAGAATGTGTGCCACTCCAACCATGCTACAAAGGAATCTGCCTTCCTCGGTTTGCGTATCGGAGAGGCTGCCAAATTCGGCGGAGTTTCTCTCTCTGCATCTACGGTAAGAGACTTTGTAATCACCTCTCGTCTGCCTTGGTACCAAGAATTCGTTTTTCAGACTTATGTTTCGAAATTGAACACTAGAAGTTCTCAGGGTTTAAGGCGGTGGGATCATGGGTTTAAGTTTAGAAATCATCACGTGTTTTTAATATGTCGTCTTATGTAGCTGCTGTTATAGGGAAATTTCATTTCTCACAGTTTGCAGTCGGGATTGGTTTTTCTGTAAACTATGCGTGAATACAGGCTCCACTTACCTCCATCGCAATAAAAAAACAGAGATAATGTGTTCTGCAGTTCAATTTCTGTCTTAAGATGACTGTCTGTTCTGTGTTTATCACTGTGTCTTGAGCACATTGTAGGAAGGATGCCCTGAATCTCGAAAGTTGATGTTGGTCTTGGATGATTGAGATGCACGAAGTGTGTGACAATCCCCGGCTAGAGAAAAGACCTTGCCCTTAACTTCCAATATATGCACTCTTTAGTCAGCTTTACTCTTCTTGATCCAGCAATCTTCACTGAACCGCCCGTAAACCAAGAGTGTAATCATCCAGGAATTATTATCATTATGTGTGGACGCACGAAATCATTAGTTTTTACACTTAACCGGCTGATCTACTGTCGAGCTCTACATACACTTTGTCCTGTCTTAGAAAACTCTCTGATGTCATAATCGTGGTATGTACTACGTGGAACCTTAACTTGGTACTGGACGATGATACTAATGTCACACTAGCAACTCCTCTCTGTTAAAGGTGATACTCACTGAGTTTGCTAATTGTTGCAGGTCGCTTCGAACGAAACGTCGAAGCCCGGTGTCGTATCAGTGAATGCCGTGACTGCTCCAGCAGAGACCATGAACAAGCCCTCGGCCAAGAAGACTGCTACCAAGAGCACCTGCATCATCACCGGTGCTTCGTCTGGTCTCGGTCTGGCAACAGCGAAGGCCCTTGCTGACTCTGGCGAATGGCATGTTATCATGGCCTGCCGTGACTTTTTGAAGGCAGAAAGAGCTGCTAGGGCTGTTGGAATTCCCAAGGATAGTTACACCGTGATTCACTGTGATCTCGCGTCATTCGACAGTGTCCGAGCATTCGTAGATAACTTCAGAAGAACCGAAAGACAGCTGGACGTGTTGGTGTGCAATGCTGCCGTTTACTTCCCTACCGACAAGGAACCCAAATTCTCAGCTGAGGGTTTTGAGCTGAGTGTGGGAACAAACCACATGGGTCACTTTCTCTTGGCTCGCCTGCTAATGGAAGACCTTCAAAAGGCCAAAGACAGCTTGAAGAGAATGATCATTGTGGGGTCTATCACTGGTATGTAATTCTGCTGTCTTGACTACCACCTTTTCATCTACGATAAGAATTCACGTATCTTCACAGTGAATACTGGATCTGAATCTTGCTAATCACATTTTACATCTGTATGCAGGTAACTCCAACACCGTCGCCGGTAATGTACCCCCGAAGGCCAATCTGGGCGACTTGAGAGGTCTCGCCGGAGGGTTGAACGGAGTTAACTCTTCCTCCATGATCGATGGAGGTGAATTTGACGGTGCGAAGGCTTACAAAGACAGCAAGGTCTGCAATATGTTGACCATGCAAGAGTTCCACAGGCGTTATCACGCTGAGACAGGAATTACCTTCTCTTCTTTGTATCCCGGATGTATCGCAGAGACTGGCCTCTTCCGAAACCACGTCTCTCTCTTCCGAACGCTCTTTCCTCCATTCCAAAAGTACATCACCAAGGGCTACGTCTCAGAGGAAGAAGCAGGCAGGCGCATGGCCCAGGTACATATTCCCTCTTACACTTGTAGTGCTCTTTACTTTCTGTGCGCGAACGAGCTTTATCATGTCTCTCAATATGGGTAATTAACGTAAATCCATACTCTCGTTCACTGCAGGTCGTTAGTGATCCCAAGTTGAGCAAGTCTGGGGTGTACTGGAGTTGGAACAAAGACTCCGGCTCCTTCGAAAATGAGTTGTCTGATGAAGCGAGCAACCCCGAGAAGGCGAAGAGACTTTGGGAGCTGAGCGAAAGACTTGCTGGTTTCGCTTAGAGTTCCGTCAGTAACAATTTTGCAGAGTTTGATCCAAGCAAGCTCGCACTTTAGATGCAGGATATGCGAGCTATCTATGAGATGTCTTCTGCGACCATATATTTACTTCCATATGGTCCATAATATGACAAGGTGACCGAAAGGTGGTATGAATGACAGTTTCATCCATCTACGACATCTTGAAGAGGGTTTAGAGAAGTACTTTGTAATACTACCAGGTTTGCAAGTGTTAGTCTTTGAATTAGAAACATATTCATTACTACAGTTATCTGATCCGAACCCTCACGAGGATGAAAGCCACGAGCTTATGTATATATATTGGATTGTAATGTAAAAGGTTTGCGGTAAAGAGCGGAGTTCTGAGTCATGGAATTGGCCGCACCACATATTGTGTTCTACGCTACATGCAGGCAGCACATGTAAGGAGCTTAGTGAGTTATAGCAATCGCTTCCTCAGTTACCCACAACGACACTCGCAACCGTCTGAATCTCCATCTTTCTTCCTTCTTTCGTCCTATTTTTCCATCTCTTAGCAAGTTGAGAAGGCGATTCATAACGTTGAATAATTGTAAGCGCGAAATTAGTTCTTAGCGGAAGGTAGGAGGAGTTGAGAGTAGAAAGAGATAAATACAGTGAACAGGCAAAAAGAAAAATGAAGGTCTCAAGAAAGAAACACATGACGTTTCTCAGGTTTAAGGCAATGTCTTTCAGTCTACAGCACGTGAAATTTTGGATCTCTCAGCAGGTCGCAATTTTCTTCAGCCTCTGCCACAGACTTATGAGTATCCAGCTCGAAGTTTATCTGTACCTAGTAGTAACTTTCAGATCATCATAATTCGTTGGCAAGAAAATTTTCAAATATTCTTGTATGTAATGGACATATGAGTCGTAAACAAACATACTTCCTGACGGTATTTATTTAACTAATAATTGTTAAATACCAGAATATTTTTTCAAAAATTATTCATTTGCTCCATACTTAGATGACCATAATATCTTCTAACGATTGATGTTTTGCTTTGAAGATTCTCTGCAAAGATAGCACGACAGATTTAAAATCTGTAAAAGATCAACATAAACAAAAATATACTCTCATTGTCATATACATGCAATAATAGACGACGCAAAATACTGTATGGATGTTTTCATGTATTTTCCAGAAATCCACGAAGAAGATAAATACATTTTTTCCAATTTTTCATACTCTCAGTTGAGACACTGAAAATTTGTGCATATCAAACAACTTGCAAAGTGAATAGATGATTTCATTTGTCAATCTATAGATATTTAATTTGAGATAAGTAGAATAGTGTTTTTTTTCAAGAAAAATAATTTAAAATAGCTCGTAGAATGATTTCAGTTTCATACTAAACTCGTGAAATAGAATATAAACTAACACCAATCTTGTTACCAATTTTTTCCTGTAATTTTGATTATTTCTAGTCTTGCTGATATTTTGAAAAGCTGGAAGCAATTTGAAGCAGACCATGTCAAACGGGACCTTCTCTGTATAATAGATCAACGGGTTGCCTGATGGTGTGTCTGGTTCGAAATCGGGTTCAAAATCCTGTCATCCGTAACCTTCTGCTTGAGCTTTTTTTGAAAGAATGGCAAGGTCGTAGCTCTCGTTACACTGTACAAAAAAGATATAACTTTGAATGACCAAATAAAGTCATATGAAATTAATGAAAGAATACTTCTTTAACCAAAATTTAAAAAATCTATACATAACATAAATTATTTTTGAATATATATATATATATATATATATATATATAAGTATTTACTTAATTTTGATCTTACTCCATCCAATTGATTTGAGAATAAATTCAACTAATGTTTCTTTTAAACCTTCACATAATTTTCATGCATAAATCATGTCATAGAATTGTAAATTCAAGACAACAAGTGGAACCGAAGGTGCACAAAGTTATCATGAAAGCACTTCAAGTAAGAATATTTAAGGTTTAATGTTTCAGAATCACTGAATATCAATTTTGCAGAATACAGAATTAAAAACATATGGTCAAAATTATGATGAAATCATTGATTAAGAGATGATAAGGTTAAGGATAAGAGATAAGGTTGACCATGCAAGAGATGAAGAGTTTTACAAATATATTCAAAAAGTGTATTATTGGTCTAAATGCAGAAGTATGTGAACACATAATATTTGAAGTTGTGTAGCTTGTGAACAAAACAAATATATAAATTCAAGTTGATTTGTTACAACCTGGATAATGTTATAACCTCTTGCATTTTGCAATTCAAAAACTCAACTTTGTCATCCATGACCTTCAAGCTTCGAGTTTTCTCCTCCAAGCAATGAGCAACATCCTACTCTTTACTAACTTAATTCAGAAATTGATTGTGCCTTAACTCAACAATATCATTCAGCTCGTAATATTTCATCTTCAACTTTTGAGGGAGATTAGCCATGGTATCATCTTTGCTTTTAAGTTCTTGCTTGATCCTCACTAATTATGCCTCTTTGACGTCCTTGGCTCTTGATCTCTTCATACATTTGTTTCTTCACTTCATGATGCAATTGTTTAGAACTCTCATGCACTTCTTCAGTTGTCAGGTGAAACTCTACAAGAGGTCGACACTTGCTTTGTAGGAATCATCCCGCCTTGGTATGTAAGGATCAGGAATTCATGCCTCTTCATGATCCGGAACCATCCAAATTCTTCACAATTGAAAGATTGTCGCATCTCCGTCCAAAGATCGGAACATCCAATCCAACTCCGATAGCCTGGCTTCAAAATTGCAAAGATTGCCCCACGATTTTTGCGCACCAAGGTTTCATTGGAACGAGACGAGCTAATTCACGGGGAGCTCACATCTCTACAACAAGCTTCGAAAATCTTCTTGCTCCTCAATGTCCCAGCAGCTCTTACTTACAAAGCTGAAAGTTCAGGTTTTCCAGTTTGACAGCAATGTCAATAAAACACTCACGAAACGAATCTGAAATCTGAAACGATTATTGAGAGATTTTGCTAGCTCTGCTATGAAAGTGTTCTCGAATTATGGCGTGTAGGAGTACTTAAACCCTAATCTAGCTAATGTGAATTATCAGGATAACTCAGTTAATTCCTACTAGACTTAACGTCAAAATATGAAAACAAAATAAATGCATATTCATATTGAAAACCCATACCCCTAAACCTTTATGGCTCAATTGCATTGATACTAGTCTATTTTAAATGAATACTTAATTTTCATAAAATATATTAATTTGATTTATCATCTTTTAAAGTTTTGTGTTATTTTTCAAGTCAATTTCAATGAAATATCATTGTTGATGAAATTTCAATATGATATGCTGAAGTTGAAACATACATTAATTACCCCATTTTATGTCTTATCTTTTCATTCACTAACGGAAGAAAATTTACATTTCATGTTTTGCTACTTTAATGAACATATCTTTTAAATTTTGTCCATCTCTTTCATTTACTCTATGATTGTATTTAAAAATTTATCTAAAAAAATTTAATTTTGGGATAAATTCACATCAGTCAAATCTGAGATTGAAATTTTTAAAATAATAACAATATTTAGCACAAATTTTCACTAATTAGTATATATATATAGATATTTTCAATTTATATTTTTACACAAAGTTTGAATTAAATTTAATTGAGTGATTAATAATTTAATTTTTTCTAATAATATTAAGTATAAAAATAATTAAAAAATAATTTTCCTGAATAATAATTTAAATATACATATTTTGATGAAATTCATTATTAGTCAAAAAAAAATTGGATTTTTCTCAGATACCTCCATAATTTTTTATCATAGTTTTTATTTTTTTCTCATAATATGCAGATCAATAAATTTCATTATTTATATAACACTATCAACACTTAAAATTGAGAGAAACAATCCATCAAAAAATTGAACTATGATACAACTGTAAAATAAAAAAAGATGAAATAAATCACTCCAAAGATATCACTCAAAATTTGAAGTTAAAAATAAATAAAAAAATTAATACATAAATACATAAATATAGAGGCAAAACATAAAAAATGACATAACTTCATCGTTTTTATACTTTATTTTTTGTTCATTGTTAACATAATGATGGTCATCAACAAACTAAAGAATTGCTGAAATGACAATTATTTATGATATACAATCTACTCAATTTAAACCATCTTCAACTTCGATCTAGCTTACTTTAGATTATATTAGCTATTGATATATGAAGTATTGCATCTTGTTCAATGATTTTGTTTTGAAATTTCATTGATCAATCTGTTTTTCAACTGCTTGTAAATATTTTTATAAACTTTTTACTTTCTTTCAATTTTACTTTTCAAGAAATAAAGTATAATGTTCAAAACTGTAGAAATTTTTTATTTTGATTTTGTACATTTCATGTTTAAAATCAAAAAAATTACAGCTCAGAAATCCGTATTTTAAAATATGAATTAATAAATTTATTTTCTTTACTTAAAATAGCAAAAAATATATTTTAAAGGTTTTAATGAAACTCTGGGATGTTCTCTATATTTGAACTTTGAGAATAGTCATTAAGAAATAGGAAATTGTGTAGTCTAAGAATGACATCATGTGCATGTATGTGAGGTATTGTTACATAGACCGCTGATGTTTATGATATCTAGATGATTTTAGTTTGTTCAAGGGTTTTCTCTACGTGTAAAATGGTAAATGGTAAATGGTGTGATGAGGCTGATGTATGTAATATTTGCTTGAGAATTTATCCATGTATGAAAATGTGTTAAATTTTCCAAAAACAATTTTAATGAAGGTTGAATTTTGTTATCGCATCTTTTCATGCTGGTCTGTATATCTATAGATTTGTTTAGATAGATTAAAAGTACATTATCATTCATATGCATATACCCTTCAAAGTAGACAGCCTCGTGACACATCTCATTCCAAATCACCTCGAGACAAGAGAAGCATTACGCTTTGACTCGCCAGACTATATATTTATAATCCTTCCATTTGCTCATGCAAAGATTGAGTTCTGAAAGGTAGATGTTAAGCTCCAAGAATTTGTCGATGTCCTCACGATCTTGTGTACCTTTCAGCGACCAACTTCTAAGGGGTTGTTTGCATTATTACTCGTGGTCTAGAAAGATCTATCAACGTCACATCACCGCTTCTACGTCAGCTCTAGGCTCTCCCCGATAAAGAACGAATTTCGAGCAACGGCTCATCACACCGCTCAAAACAAAATCGAACGAAGCTTGCAACTCCAAAAGCTTGTATTTCGAATGAAACGAACGAGGCCCCATGAATTCCATCTGGACCTCGTCATGCTGAATGCCATATTTGCCATATGCTGAGGGGACCTCTTCTGGGCCCGGCATCTGAAGAAGGTCAACAGACTTGACCAACGCCACAAGCCTCGGGTCCACAGTCGGGACGTACGTTTCACAGCAATTTCCCCATGTCACCCGGAGGAGGAGGGGGATAGTTTTTTGTATATTATATATATAATCACTCACACTTGAAGTAGTGTCTTCTCGGGTAATGGTTTCCAACGTAGCATTGCGGCCATAGACTGGCACCCTGGCTAGATTGACGGTGCTACAGAGGCCAGGATGGGTGGGACGAGAAGAAAGTTGCATTTGCAGGAAGGCAGAGATTCTCTAGAATAATGTGACCTTCTAATTCTGTGTGGTGTAAGGGCGGAGCTTCCACGTTTCAGCGAGTAAGCCCACTCGTCACTTTTCCACCCTACCTGAGAAACGACCCAGCAGATGTTA